CTCTAGGGAGAATCAGACTGGCATATTTGACAAGCCTTCCCATCTCCTTTCATCTTATGCTGTGACATGAAACTTGGGTGTTGCAATCAATACTTATCTGCTTTGCTCTAGACTGGTTTTTATGCCGTGATTACCACTGTAATAACTAAGCTCCTTGTTGAGCCAAAGTGGGTATCTTTAGACTGCCAGGTGGAATTTGGGAGAATCCAGACTGTTCTCTATCAAACAGACCTGCTGGGCTGAGGCTAAGGAAGTTGGATCAGGAATGAGATACCTGGTGGTTTTATACAAGTTTCATGCTCTGTAACTGCTCAAGGAAAACTGAATTGTTCGCTCCTCAACTGGTTATCCACAACCAGTAAAAGCCTCAAATTTTTGACCTTGAGCTGAGCACCACAGGGATTGATATAGCTTTGTCTCTGTACCACCACCTCTCAGACTGCCACCACACATGGGTACCAATCCTGCAGCACTTGCCACAGTGCGCACGAGCAAGGCCCTTAGGTCGGTTTCAACCATTGATGTCATGTGGGAAATGAGCAGAAACATGAATAGGACTGTTTCTGTTAACTGGAGTACAAGCTCCTCAGGACAGGAGCTGCCTTTTTCCTCTGTGTTTGTCTGCTCATCCAGGACAGCAGGCTTGGCAGCGAGATCTCTGGTAATGCAAAGACCTTGCAACAACTGTCCATGCTCATATTGCTGCTAACCTGACCCACAAGAGGCCACTCTTTAGGGCTTCCATTGAGAAGGATTTTATTGATAAGAATATGAACATACATGAATCTTTATTTTTCCCAGGAAGCTCTTTTTTCAGTCAACCAGGCATTCAGCATGGCACTGAATAAGATGGAGAGATGAGGAATGATAAATGTTAAAGCCTCTGGACTGTGATCTCAACAGCTTATGGGTAGGAAGAAGTTGCATTAGTCTGAATAAACATAAGTCAAGAAAGACGTGAAGTGAAACTAAGATAAGCTCAAATGCAGGCATTGCCTACCATCTGTAAACTATCTTACTGAATTTTTTTCTTGGCTGTGCTAGCTGTTATCTTGGTGCACAGCACGGGGAAAACAGAGCACCTCTAACATAACTAGCCATAGATGGGTAGACTGCCTATGGTAGCCTACACAGGATATGTCAGTGTGATACATAGCCCTGTGCTGGGACCTTGTGGTGCACCTGTGGTGCAACTACTGGAAATTTGATTGGACCAGAATCAGTAAGGAAAGAATAATCTATACTTTGGATAACACCCACTCCTTGTACAGCATCACAGAGGGGAAAATCTGGGTTTTGTCCCTTTCAAGAGAAGAGAGACTGTAATACATCCCCTAGTGAAATATTTCTAATAGCTGACAAGTGCTAACTCATGTAGTCTGTGTAGGAAATCATCAATACTTGTCCACACTCTAACTGAACAAATCACAGTTTCCTGACAAATCCAGTTCAGAGGCTGCTACGGTCTTTTCCATGGTTTATCGTCACAAACTGGGACGGCAAAAGTCATAGGGCATGGCAGGCTTAATAAGCCTGCAGCCATGTTCTGAATCACAGGGAAGAGATCAGACTATGAGCAGGGAGGTGCTGGCCCGTTGCTGGAAGCTGCAGTTCGGCAATCCCAGAAGAGAACTCTGCTGGCTGGAGGAGAAGAGCTAATGAAGCTGTTTGTGCTCTCAGGCAATGCCTATTAAACTATCCACAACTAGTGTGAGCAGGTTGCCGATGTCCTACAGCATAATAGCCTTTCAGATAAGGAAGAGTCTGGCTAATTCTCTCCAACTGCTCTGCCAAAACCCAGTCAATCATCTGAAGAGTAATGGAAGTGGAGAGCAAGGACTTGCATTGTTCTGAGGAATGTCATTCGTACTTTCATTAAATTAAAGCTGATCTGCATTGTCACACGCCATCAGAATTATTATTTTTCCCCTTACCTGCCTTCCTCCCAGGTGTCAGTGCTACTGTCCACAACCACAGCCACACCTTAGCTATCTCACATGGTAAGGAGAGGGTTTTTTCCTATGGGCTGCTTCAGGGCTTGGGGACTTAACAGTTGATGTGAGAAAAATATCAAGTTCAACTGCTCAGTGAACGACCAGCAAAAGAAGCCATCTAGCATTTTATAAAGCCATGTTTTTAACTTCCCAGATAGGCAGATGAGTGGGCTATGATCACTCCCGAGGCCCAGCAGCATTTAAATGAACTATTGTTCTGCCTTCTTTGTATAAGTGGCAACACTGCTTTCCCTTTGCATTTGTATCTTCCACTTCCCAGCCATCAAGAAATAATTTCTGTAGTCCTAACTCAGCTAATTAGCCAACAAACACTATTGGTGAAGTCAATGAATGAAAGAAATAGCAGAAAAATTTGCTAATGAACTCCTTGAGGAGAGTGCACAAAGAAAAAGCTATTTGGCCCTCTTGCCCCCCAATGCTGGTTTAATCTCACAACCTGTCCATTCAAAACCTCCTACACAAGCTCAATAACACTCATTCTTCCAGTTCTGCAGTCACGAGTTTAGCTGCAAAAAAAATCCAAGGAGAGAGATATATTTTAGAAACCTTTACAATGATCAAAAATAGCTCTTTGATGCATAGCAGATGTCTTCAAAACTAGCATAAATGGAGCCAAAATGCCTTACAGTTCTGGAAAAGGGAGATTCCAAGATAAGACATGTTTCTAACTGCAGCAGCTCTGGAACAGATTTGGAATTTATTTTAATTGTCAACCTCAAGGAAAACATTTAAAAGAAGGCCTTCTGTCCCCCATTTTGGGACAATCGCCTTACTGGGCTACATGCTGCTGAAAGACCTGATGTCTGCCTGAAAGCAGTTCCTCTGTACCCGTTAAAGATAACAGATGGGTTGAGATAAGGAAAAAGAGAGAGAACAGCAAGCAGTGAGACATGGAGGTGACAGACTGGAGACTGCCTGCCCTTCATCCCTGGCTCTTAGTCATTTAGGAAGGGGGTGCTTGGCAGGCTTCGCTGTAGAGGGGAGGATTGAGGATGGATTGGATGGAGGTCAGCGGGATGGTGCTGAGGGATGCTAACGAGGCAACACCTCTGAGACACGCAGCACAGGAGAAAAAGTGTGAAGGGGTATGCCGGAAAACTGAACAACAGACCCAGGAAAACTGACCATGGAATCACAGCAGGGATGGGATTCCCCAGTCCTGTTCCTCACCAGAATGAAGATTTGCTCTGAGAAGACTTTTTAAAAGGGAGAAAAGAAGTCTGTGTCTGACACAATGGAGTAGGCGCTACAATTGTGAAAAAACACAAAGCACGAACATGAAGCCAAAGAGATGAGTCAGGACATGAATCTTATTACTGCTCTAAACAACACATCTCGTGTGTACCAGGCCTTATTTTTCATGAAGCTTTAAGCTAGCATCTTTGTAACACCTTTAACTCGGACAATGTTAGGCTGTGCTCATGAAATTGCTAGGGATGTCTCCTACCTGAATACACGAAAGAGTGAGATGGAGGACTGAAAGACTGATGCATTAGTAAGATGGAATATTTGATAGGAAATAAATCTTAATCTTAAAAGCAGAAATTCCAGAGCTAGAAGATTCTATATACACAACTAAAGGTGAAAAAATAGGTTCTATTCCCCTATATATGCAAATGGCACAGTCATGCTTAATACGGAAAATAGCAGGAGAGGAAGCAGCAGAGTCGGGTAGTGACAATGATACCACAGAGGAGTGAGTAGTGCTCCCCTCGTCAGCCCTGCTCCTCCCACCTCTCCTGGCAGTCTTTCCCCATCTTCCTTCTTTTGGTACTACAAGAAATGGGCCAGAAATATAAGCTGCATCTCTGGCTCTTATATACATGAAAGCTGAGGAGGATTTTGGTTTGGCTGAAGGGATGAGACAGGAAATCTGAGTAACCCCAGTCTGAACCACAGGACCCACATCCAGGGGCTTCTGGACCCAGCCCTTGGATTGAGCTCTGTTCCAATGTGTCATTCTACCTTTCTCTGTCCAACCTTCTTTCTGCAAACGTTCTCCCCTTTTCTGGCTGCTGAATTGCAGTAGATAGCTTGACTGCCTGTAGCACATAAAGAAAGCTTGTACTCCGCCTACCTCAAGCCTTCTTTAACCCTTTACATATACGGGAATACCACGGAATACTATTCATATGGAGTTAATCAATGCTTTCCCCACACATCTTAGATGAAAGAATAACTGACGGCAAAAGAAATCAGGTAAAGGGTTCTTCTCTCCTCAAAGGACAAGATACGGAAGAAAAGAAACCTACCTCTTGTTCCCATCCTACTGATAAATCTCTAGGGGGTGAAGGTTTCCTTGCAACCCAAGCTGCTAACCCCACACAGTTTGACTACTGAAAGGATATTCTCCTTCCAAGCTTACCGCATCCTCAAGCGTGGAAGGCACAGCTAGATAGCAGAACAAAGCTGGTGAGTTCTCCTTTATTCTGCCTCCACCCTCATCTTCACTCATCTTGCAGATCAAATGCCTTCTTTACTCACCTCACAAGACATAGGAAGACTGTCTGCCAAAGTGGAGAGTAATATGAAATCATCCGTGCCACTCTTTGCCCCTCCCTTTTAAGGCAAATCAGGGGGAAGCAAATGCCATGGTTTTCAGAAAGAACCTCTTCTATGTAGTATCTACACAGAAACCCTTTCGCCTCTTTCTGGCGCCAGCAGTATTTTGTCTCCACCACCATGCTGTGCATTACCAGCAGTAGAGACTGAGACAACTAGATGCAGACCAAATCTAAATAGAATTACAGGTCCAATTCTGTAGAGCACCTACTGAAGTAATTTTATTTGTTCCCTTGGACAACCTGGTTATCGTTGCCTGCGAAATCACACTGCAAAACAAGCTTGCCGTGCATTTAAGATTCTTGCCACTTTTTTACAGTTGCCTGTATTGCTACTGAAATTTTCTGTTGATGTTGGAAGAGAAGGAAACTAGTGTACAGTTCACAAATCAGCAGCACAGTTGAGTCCAGTTCAGTCTCTTACCTGTTGGGGTGAGGTGCCTCCAGGTGATGACAGGCTCAGGACGCCCATTTGCCATGCAAACCAGAGTCACATTGCTGCCCTCATTCACGGTGATGTCCGAGGAGATATTGGAGATCTTTGGTGGAACTGTGAAAACAAAAGAAAGTTCAGCCTCGTTACCCAGACTTCTGGAGGGCAGCCTGTCTGACTCATTAACCTATCTACCTATTAACCAGTGGCAGCCACAGGCTCCTCTCACAGGCTGCGCTCCTCATAGTACCTGGGTTTCTGAAATTATATCAGAATAATATGTACCGCTTGCTAGGATCTGCAAGTAGAAAAGGCCTTTGCTGCAACTGTGATGCTTTTTATTTGGACACATTTGGGGACCTTCATAAAATAACATCTAAGAACTTGCCTGACTGCCCCAAGGCTGCAGAGAAGGAATCAGTAGGCTTTGAGCACCGTCCTAGCTCATTTTTACACTCCAAACAGTCCCAGATGCAGTTCTAGGTCCTCCTGCAGGGTGCCAGGCCTCAAGGCACTGACTCAGAGGGTGTATTAGTTAATGTTACCTCCCACGGGCAGATAAAACTCATGCTGTTAGCCAGGACCCTGATCTGCTGCTCATGTAACCAAATGCTCACGGGGAACTGAACCAGAGAGCTGTTAAGCTCCTTTCTGTTGTGCCTGCCATGACAAGGTGAGAAGCAGGGACATGCGCCATGGCTAATGGGAATGTGCTGAAGGAAGGCACAACAGTGACAGCGGGAAGGTTTCTGCAACATTTTTCAGCCAAGATGGATCCCAGTGGGCTGCCCACAGTAAGCAGCTTCTGGCTGACTGCACCTCACACGGCACAGCACCAAAAGCATGGTAGGGTCTTTAAAGATTCACAAGACCAGCCATGATGTGGGCATTCAGGTTCCTTAAAGACCTCCCAGGCTAACTGAGTTTGTGTCGCGGGACCAAAGTGACCACGCTGGGACCTGAACAGCTACCTCCACGCATGGAGCATGCTGGTGTATCAACCTCTAAGCAGGCCAGGCTGTTGCAGTCTCTCCTCACTCACATCCACGTCTTGCTTCCACACTTCACAACCCAGAGGTGGTGAAGGAGTTTTACTAAAAAGGAATCTTCTAATTTTTTTTTTTCTTTTAATATATTTTCAGCTTCTGAATTTATGTGTAGCAAGGAATGAAACATCATTTTCTGCTTCGCTTACCACAGAATAAACAGATAGCAGCCTCCCTTCCCCCCTCCTTGGCAGAAGCAGCTGATGGTCCTTGTGAGGCAAAGCTGCCCACGAGCTAGGTGGGGAAAAGGAAATGAAGCCTGAAGAGAGCAACTCACCACTTCCAGCTGTGTTGCTGGATTCATAGGAATATTGTTTACAACCCACAGCTCATTAGCCCCTCTCTGCAGGCCCCAAACTCATGGTCAACTCTTCAGCATCTACAACCATGGGACCCCTTTGGAAGAACAGGGGCTCCTGAGCAGGACCAGGACCTGCCAAACAAAGTGAGGCAGATGTCTTTGCCAACAGGCTCACTCACCTAGGCAAGGAGGGATTTAAACTAGGCACACTGGGAGAAGATTGCCATAATCTGGGGAGAAGTGACAGCATGGAGGGCAGTGAGGAGGCAGCTGGGGGCCAACACAACAGGGAAGGCTTTCACACTCCCCTTGTGAAAGGAGGACAGCTGGGGGCCCATTTCAAATGCCTGTACACCAATGCAAGTATCACGGTGAAAAACCAGGAGGAATTAGATGTTCCTGGAGATTTGCAGTGCTATAAACCCATTGGAATGACAGAGCTGTAGTGGGACAGCTCTCAGGACTGGCAGTGCTGTGCAGGATGGGTATGGGCTTTTCCAGAAAGACAGGCTGGAAAGGCAAGGAAATGAGATGTGCTCTCTGCAAAGGAGTGACTGGAGTGCACCCACTAGTGATAAAGGTTCACCTACTAGGTGAACCAGCTGGGAGTTTAGGTTTAAGGATGAGGGATATTACAGTGTTGGTTGGTGTCTGCTACCAACCATTTGATTAAGAAGAGGCAGCAGAGTTTAGCCAGATAGAAGAAACCTCACAATCACAGCCCTGGTGAGGGGCTTCAACCATACTGATATTTGCCAGAAGGGTGAAAGTGCTGGGCTCAAGCAGTCCAGGTGATGTGGAGGGCCAACAGGTTCAGCATGAATTACCAGTATGCCTTTGCAGCAAAGACCAAGCATCCTGGGTTGTATTAGCAAGAGTGTAGTGCTGTAAGTGGAGGGAAGTGATTATGTCCCTTTCTACCATGCTTGTTAGACAGCATCTGAAGCCTTGTATCAGTTTTGGGCTCCCCAGTAAAAGGCGGCTATCAACATACTGGAGCAAGTCCACTGAAGGGCTCCCAAGATGGTCAGAGGGCTATAGCACATGATGTACAAGGAGAACTTCAGAGAGTTGGGTCTGTTCAGCCTGAAGAAGGGAAGGCGGACGGGAGATATTATTGATGTCTACAAATAGCTAGTGGGAAGGTGCAGATACAAGAGGCAGATTTTGCTCTGAGGTGCACAGTGAAAAGTAGCAGACATGAGCTGCAACGTGGGGAAAATTCTAACTCAGAATGAGGAAAAAGCTTTCACTTTGGGGAGGTCAAAGACAGGAACAGGTTCCCCAGAGACGTGGTGAAAAGTCCATCCCTGGAGATATGCAAAATTCACTTGGATGAGGCCCTCAGCAACCTGCTCTAATTGGCACCAGGAAGGATGGAGAAGAGACCTTGAAGTATGTTTGCTGTTCAACAGCTAGAATTGATGGCTGATCAGCTCATGGTGAAACAACAAAAGCAAGGCATGTTGGGGGAATGGTTGACTGCACCAGGGTTGCCTTCCCTGGAGAGAGGGAATTTCAGAGTAGGGACATCTTCCTAGCAGCACAATAATGGGTAAAGCACAGCACAGCAGAAAATCAACCCCTTCCTCTCAAAGCAAAACACTTTGACAAACACAAGCTCTGCTACATTTTACAGGGGTGATTCAGTGCGAGCCATCGGCAGTGTGTCTGCACACGTAGGAAGACGTAGGAGGCAACAGAACAAAACAAAATAAACACTGTTGGAGAATGCTGATGGTGTCAAAGAATTTGATCCCACAATATCAAGGGGTACACGAGGGTTTCACTGACTACAGTTTTATGTTGTGCCTCCCCCCCCTTTATCACATACCCATTCTGCCCAGCAAATGCCTGGCAGTACACAGCAACAATCAGGCGCTCTTGGAAAGTAAGCAAATACCTTTGTCAACCAATATCCTGAAACTGCATAAAGGGCAGCAGAAATTAAATACCCCAGCTGGGCCACTAAATACCCTGCCCCTCCTCCAAGAAATGCTTGTTTCACGGCACACCAAAGCAGAGCAGCAGCTTGCTGCATCACAGAATCACAGAATAGTGATCATGCAAGATCTCATCACGTTGAGATCTTGCTCAGCACTGAGTCGGCAGGACTCGGAAGCACTTTCTCTTTCTTCATTCTGTCCCATGAGGGAGTTTCCTGTCTCATCACTCAGGAGGGACAGACCCATCACTCCAGCAAGCAGAGCTGCAGGCTGGGAGACCCCTGCAAGTTGTGGTGCAGAAATCCGAACTGTTACTATAAGGAATAAAGCAACTGGAAGGGCCATGTCAGTCCTGCAGCAGCACAGCTACCTGTAGTACATATTGTGTTTCAGATCTGAGACCAATATACCTCTGACTTCTGGAGAGGACAGAGGGGCTCAGTCTGGGAAAGAACAACAGAGGCTGCTGTTTTTGCAAGAGTTTTGTCCTAGCTGCTCTATGAGGCGACACAACGGTGATGACTTTGGAGCATCCTCAGCAGAGACTCTCTGGTGTGCTGGCAAACATGGGTAAGCAGAGCCCAGGAGTAGAATCACTGGCTAAACCATGTTTTGGGACTTTTATCTTAACCTCAAGGGATTAACATTTGCACCAGGAAAAAAAGCCACACAACAAACCAAGAAAGACTAAGTTCAAGCAAGACTAGTAGATGGAGCTGTAGGCTAGTCCAAGGTCCTAGGAGAACAGTGTGATGACAGCCAACACAATTGAGGAGAGAGCAGTAAAAGCCACTATGGGGCACCAGCAACAGAACTGCAGTTAGGACATGTGTATACCCTGCCACCTTCCAAATCCGTCAAGTCATTTTAGTTTGCAGAGAATCAAGTAAACTCAGTAAATACAAACAGATCTGACCATGCAGACCAAATGCCCAAGAGATGTGTCCAGATGGTCATATCTGGCTCGCCACTTTTTCAGATGAGGGAGAAAAGGGCATCCAAGGCTGAAATCCTGTTAGGAGTATAATGGCTGGTTCCTTTCAGCTGCCACCTTCATCTAGAGGGCAAGGGAAAGCTGAAAGGAGGCAGGAAACAATTTCCATGTGAATTTAAAACCTGTTTTGTTTCGTCTCCTTAGAATCCAAAGCCAGCTAGCATTAAAAATGACTGGATCTTAGTGGACAGTAATTTCACTCAGATAAAAAGTCAGAGACTTTTAATTTTCGGGGTGTCAAGACAGTGTGTTAAAATGACAAAACTGTCAGCACCAGCAACATCTATCTAGCATTGCCTCCTTGGCACTTGTCGTTACTTTGCACACACCTTTTTAGGACAATCTTAAAATGAGAAGCTTTGACCTTATTATTTTTTCCCATGTGGGGGTTATGTTATGTTTTCACAGTTCCCAGACGGCTGGTAGGAGTGCTGAGAATAAAACCTCCTGGGACAGAATCACAGAATCGTCATGGATGGAAAGGACCTCTGAGATCACCGAGTCCAACCATACACACACACGAAAAAATCCTACAATCTCGGCCATCAGAGCATGCCCTGCAGTGCCACATCTACACGTTTCTTAAGCACGTCCAGGGATGGTGACTAAACCACCTCCCAGATGGGACCAGGATCTTCTGGGTGTCACAGCCTCCTTTTGCCCAGCCATCTCTTGTTGACCCTCAACTGGAAAACTTTTTCATGTCTGGCCTCTCTAAACTACTAGCACAGGCAAAACCACAGCTTGCAGACCCACAGTAGGGAAGCACCACAGCTAAACAGCGCTTTCAGGTGTTTTCATATCCAGCCTAACAGTTTGTCCCTTCAGAG